TGTTGAAAAGCAATAAACGTTGCGTATCAATATGCGAAGTTCACAGGAAAAAACGATGAATCGAGCCACAGCATTTCTTCCAATCCTCTCAATGCAGAAACCAAAAGTCGCAGCCACCTTCTTGCATAATCATATGGCCTCAGCAGAAGTTCTGTCCTTCAGACTATTAATAGCCATTCCAGTCAGTCTTGCTGTATAATAGTGATTCGAATGTGATATTACTTTTCGCTCTTTGTTCATTTGATCTTCTGCTTATGTTATATACACACTTGAATGAAAAAAACTGGTTTTATCATTATTTATTTGTGGCTTATCACCTGTACTTGTCAATTTTGTTTTTATGCGTTTTTGAGAACGCTGCAACAGGCAGAAAAAACGCATATCGGAACGACCCTGTCAGTGTGTGTATGTGTGTGTGTGTGTGCGTGTTTGTGTGTGTGTGTCTGTCTGTCTGTCTGTTCGGGTATTTCAACTCACCAACCACGCAAGCTTTGAGACCGTAATTTTGCCAGTTTGCTCCCCGGTTAAGTGCCATCCCAGGATCGCAATATCAAACCTCACGCACGTCTGGGCCCTGCATACGACTACGTGAAAGTTTGCTGACTCCGAAACAAGAAAGGCTGGAAAGCTGAAACTTTAGGGTAATGTTCGCTGCCTAGCATATGACTAAAAGATTTCAAATTCAAATTCCCAGGACTGCCCGGAATTTATGTATAGCCAAGTGGAAATTTTGGCGGGAAAATCACCAACTCTACAACGGAAAAATTCAGAAAGCTGGGACTTTGCAAAAATGCTCCAATCTACCTATGTACGGCTAAAGTCAGCTTTTTAGAAGCGCCCGGGACCAACTTACGGACACGTGAAAGTCTTCGCGGGACAATTGCTAACTCGAAGACGAGAAAAATCTAGAAAACTAAAACTTTGGAGAACTGTTCCCTATTCATGTATGTGCAAAATCGGCTGCTTAGAAGCGCCTGGGAGTCGTGTACGGGCAAATGGGAACTTTGGTGGGAAAAACATTAGCTCGGGAACGAGAAAATCCAGAAAGCTGAAACTTTAGGGAAATGTCCCCTAATTACTATGGCTAAAATCAGCTGTTCAGAAGCATCCGGGACCCAAGTACGGAAAAGTAAAAATTTTGGCAGGAAAACTGCTAACTCGGAAGCGAGAAAATCTAGAAAGCTAAAGCTTTAGAGGAATGTTCCCCATTCATATAGAACCAAAAGATTTCAAATTCAGCTCCCTAAGACAGTTCAGGACTCACGTACAGCCCAGTGAAAATTTTTGGCAGTAAAATTGCTAACTCAAGAACTAGAAAATTTGGAAAGCTAAAATTTCAACAAAATGTCCCATGTCCAAATACCGCGTAGACAATTAATTTCCCGGACTTCGAAGACCAGTATATCACACATTTCTGGCTACTGGGCTCCCGAGCGATCTCATTACGCACGAAATATTGCAAAAACGCATGATTGTACGGGTCCACCCGGTGCGCGTCGTCAATGACTTTTTTTTTCTTAGGTGGTATTCTGGCTCTTCATGGACATGACAGGCGCACACAACCGCTTTCGAGGATGAGAATGAAATACAGTAAAACCTTTTGTCTCTAGAATTGTTGGCGAATCCGCAGGAACATTGCAGAAAAACGTCTAAATCCCCCAAAATTGCATATTTGATTTTTGCAACTATTTAAGCTGAAATCCGCGCACATTTTGTTGGTTTGTGATTTACGTCCGAGAGGAGTGGTCATGTTTTGCTGCGGCTCTCCTATCTGAGAAATTGCCAGGATCAAGGACGATACTGGTCCGGATCGGCGATAAATTAACTTAATTGATCAGGATCTCGATGCCGTTTTCACTGGCACAGCTTGCGCACATGGGTTGGATATTGGTGCCAATATCGTTTACGGCAGAGATGTTGCTGGAATTGGCTGCAAAGGCGCTGTGTATCTGACTTTACGTCATTCGGAAGCATCTACTGTTTGTGAAAGGGCGAAGACTGGGCTGAACTGCGCTATAATTGCAATGAGCGTTTTGCGATGCACAGAAGAATGTTGAAACTGTTGAACGGGTTCCAAGCCAATAAACAGAAGTCGGAGAGGAAGGATGAGTTGGACAGTTCGATATCCTCTTCTTTTTCTCTGCACAATAATTTAACTCGGCTTTTGTGGTTTGTACGCTTCTTCCTAAGAGCACTGTGGACGTGCCGGATCAGAAACACTACTAGTCCTCGCGTCATGAAAGTATTCACTAATCCTGAAGAAGAGAGCAACGCAAGGATGATGATCAGTGCAGCCGTCAGATCCGGGAATGGAGAAGCAGCATGGCATTTTGTTGAGAATCCGTATAATTTACGTGTCAGTACGTAAATTTCACGGGAAAGGCAATGATTCGTACCACTGTCTTCCTTTTTCCTGTCAATACCAAGTCTCAGGGCATCACCCTTCCATATTTACATGTTTTTAGAGAGATTCTGCTCCTTTTGGAGATCGGGATATTGCTAGAGCTAAAAGCACAAGTCGAAATGGTGGCCTCTATGCTATCCGCAAAATCTTTGCTGTTGCTGAAGAAATGACCGAGCCGGTCATCAGCATGACCATTGGTGGATACAGTTGCGATGTACAGGAGATCCCTGCAAAAGTTGCGAGTCAGTGAAAGGAACAATGATTATTTGAATCATTCGATTCTCTTTTTTCAGCCACAATTGAACTCAGCTCTCAACGCTGACTTGTTTCCTTTGCGTCACAGGAATTTTGAAGACAAAAGTGCAAAAATTGCACAATGACGCCAGTCCTTTGTGGCGTGAGAGCGCTAATTGATCCCGAACAGGAGACCGAGACGGACTGTGCATCGGTGCAAGAAACAGGTGTGGGAAAAAAGTGACAGATACTATCAGTGCAAAAACAGATCCGGGAAAGAAAAAATAATCTGATAACGATGGACGTTGCGTGTCAGTGTTTGAAGTTCATGGTGGCGAAA